GGCCGCTTAACCGACTGAGCCACCCAGGCGCCCCAATAAATAAATATTTTAAAAAAGAAAAGAAAACCAGTACTTGGAGCTGCAGTTGATAGAGATTATTTTGTGCAGCCCCACACAGATGAGTGGGTCAGTCAGCCCAAGCTATGCGCCAGTGAGTTGAAGATCCAGTTTCAACTCTGCCAGCTGTAAACTTAAGAGTACATTTTCTCTGTGAAGTGAGGTGAATACTTTCCTGACAGCACAGGAAAGGTTACCTTAGCGGCCTTGGGGGATGATCCAGAGGACTGCAGTGACTAGAATGACACTTACCCATCAGCTTGCAGGTTGTGGCCCATCTCATTGACCACATAGCACCCAGGAGGAGCTTTACAATAACCCTGCGGAATATATGTTGTCCTGAACGTCTGCTACTGCAGGGAGAGCCAGGCTGCAGATCCACTGAGCTCCCAGCACCACAAGGATGGGCAGAGTTCTCCATATCCACACCTAGACAGGCTGTGAAACTTAAAATGGTTAAGAGTTAACATTTTAATGAGCCTTCTATTCAAGATTTTGAGAAATTGCCCTAGTGTCCCCCAAAGATAGGAGGAACAAAACACATGATCCAAGACTAAAGGAGAAATAAAATTAGAAATGGAGAGTGGATGGGAGTAGAATGAAAAGAACCTACAGTTAATTTTCTTGAGGGATAAAGTACTAAATAATCCGCGTGATTAACCAAGTAGTAAAAAACGAAAGTTTTAGAAATTAGAAAGTTGTGAAGCATTGTGGAGAATGAAGATTTCAAGTGTCATGCATGATTATTACTCAAAATGGTGCCTGTGGCCCAGCAAGAAGCGGCCAGGGAGCGCTACCCCCCCCCACTTCCTAATATCCCTTAACTGGGGCACTTTTCAAGCCCAGCCCTGCTGGGAATCCGGGAAATTGTCATCCTTGGCTTCCTGAGTTGTTCTCAGGGCAGTTTGAAGCTCTGAGAACGCTAACTGGAAGTGAGGAAATGAATTTTGCTTTTAAATCAACAATCTGGAGGGGAAAATGAACCCCGAGAAATCCTAGGGAACAGGAAGGTAATTAAATTCTGAAGACAAGGATAAATATAAATGAGTTGGGAAGGGCAAGCCCCCAAATAAAATTAATAGAAAAGTTTGTTTAGGGGAGGAGGTCAGAAATAGGAGATCAACGTAGTTATTTTTATCAAGGAAAAAAAAAATCCCTTGGACTAGGATTTTGATTCTAGGACTCTTGATCTTGTGGTGAATTCGAGCCCCACATTGGGTGGGGGTTACTTAAAAAGTCTTTTAATAAAAATCTGTTTAAAAAAAAAACAAAACAAAAAAACTAGGAAAGGAGTGACTGGCGATGGCCGAGATTAAAAGCGCGGCCCAGGACGTGTTTTGCAACCCCAAGCGCCCAAGGCCCGTCCGGGGCAGCGGGCCCGGCCCCACCCATCGCTGGTGACTCCTGACCTCGAGCTGACTCACTTCTCGAAGAGCGTGCCAGCAATTTCCAACACCGGTTAGATCTGTGAAACCAGTAAACCGAGGAAACCATAGACGAGCCAAGGTCTGTAATCCGGAAATTTGGAGGGGGAGGGAAAAAAAACAAAAAACATCCTACGCAAACGGGGAGGAATGTAGAATCGGGGATCCGAAAATGGATAAGGAATCCGGGCGCTCGCTCCCTTAGGGGGAAGCGACTGCGATCCTCCACCCTGCGCCTGCCCGAAGGGTGAAAACTGGCAGAGCGGGAAGGTGTATATGGAAGTTCCAGCTGCGCCGGCGCCGCCCCAGGGTGCGTCAGCCGTCGCGAAGGGGGGCGGGGGAGGGAACGAGAGTGCAGGAGGCCGAGAGCCCAGCAACTCGCCAAGGGGCGGCCGTCCGATCTGGGCCTGGGTCGCACCCACAGCTTCAACATGGCCGCTCCGGAAGTGTGCACCGCGAAGGGCCCTGGGAGTTGTAGTGGCCCGGCACCAGGCTCGTGATGCACGTCCGGACCGGGGGATCGGGGCGTGGCTATGGGGACGTGGGCGGTGTCGTCCCGTTTACCCGGTGGGAGGGGGACGGAAGCTTCAGCTTCCCGAACGCGGGCTGCAGTGTACCTGTGGCTGCGGCCTCCGCCAGCGCCACCCTCCCGGACGCCGCGGTGCTGGAAGGCCGGCCGGGCCGCTGCTTAACAGTGCGGGTGGCGCGCAGGCAGCCGCTGCTCTTCGGGTCTTTCCGAGTTTGTGTGTTTAAACAACACGGGTGCGGTCACTTCACACTTCCTGCTGCGCTCTTTTACTTCACGTGACGGGAGCTTTCCTCCGTTGTAATGATCACACTAAAACCAGCGTAATTTTTAATGCTTACCTGGGAATCTTTCAGTTTTCTTGAGCGGTGCTTTAGCACTACCTGTGTTTTCCAGTTTTGCTCCGTCCTGCACCCCTGCTCAGGAAACGTGTGTTGTGGAAAAAAGACCACCCAAATGAGGACATGCGGAGGCCATCTACTTAGGCCACTGTAGCAGGGCGTTTGCCACCACACCTAGTGTTTAGTTGAAACTGGCAGGGAGGCAGGCGTGGGAAAATTTATAGCGAAAAAAGGGAGGTTCTGACTGGAGGTTATTGACTTGGGGGTGGGAAAAAAAAAACTGTTGGTCAAACAGGTCAAACAAGTCCTGAGGTTGCGGGGTCAGGGTTCTATTGTCGTATGCTGTCTGGCCTTTGTCTACAAATACTCTTCTCTTGGTGTCTCTACAGTGGTCTTCCTCTCCAGATAGTTCCCTGAACAGGATTAACCAGCTGAAAGTCCCCGGGCATTGATTGCCCTGGCATTAGTTGCTAAGGCTTTGAGTTCATGCTGGAAGTTCCTTTGCAGGTAGAGTTGTGCTAATCAGGTATATTCAAAACAGCAAGTGTGAGCGGGCACATTTGCTCTTGACATCAGCCGGACCATTTCTGTTTTTATAAACAAACAAGCCTAATTGGAAGTAAACCATAATCCGTGATTTACATTTTTTCTATTTACTTTTTTAAAAATGTTTATTAATTTACTTTTGAGAGAGAGAGGGAGTGCAGGAGCACAAGCCAGGGAGGGGCGGAGAGAGGGGGAGACACAGAATTGCGTCTCACAGAATTGTGAGATTGTGACCTGAGGCGGTTAGATGTTTAACCGACTGAGCCACCCTGGTGCCCCTCTATTGACAGTTTTAAAGCTTTCAAGTCATTTAGAGTTAGCATTTCTCGTTAGAGTTGTAGAGTGCTTTCTTATTTCCTTTGGTTTGTGTGCCCTCCTTAGCATTTCAGGGCCGTGCTGGAGTTGTGTTCTTGTGAGTTCTGTGCCAAGACACAGGGCTTCAGACTTTCCTGTCTTCTTGGCTCCCATGGAGGCAGGATCAGGTTCTACTCCCTGTACATAGCTGTGGGCCTATAGAGCATCACAGGTCTCTTCTTAAGCCTCCTTGCCTCTTGCTTTCCCACCCCCCTCCCATATTGAGGTATAATTTACATACCTTAAAGTTCACCCTTTGAGAGTGTACAGTTCAGTGGTTTTTACTATAATTCACAAGGTTATGTAGCTATCACTACAGTCTAATTTCAGAACGTCTTTATCATCTCCCTGAAAAAGCTTCATCTTTATTAGCCAACACCCCCTAATTGTCTGAATTCCTTATCTCCTGGAAACCACGAATCTACTTTGTCTCAGTATATTCGTCTATTTTGGACATTGCGTATAAATGGAATCTTAAAATTAGCCTTTGGTGTCTGGCTGCTTCCATTTAGCATAATGTTGTCGAGGCTTAACTCGTATCACTACTTCATTCCTTTCTATGGCCAAATAATATTCCAATTTGTGGATAGACCATATTTTGTTTATTCTTCCTTTGATGGACATTTGTTTTTCTTTTTGGCTATTAAGAATAATGCTGCTGTGAAAGTTCCTGTACAAGTTTTTGTATTGACATATATTTTCATTTCTCTTGGATGTATACCTAGGAGAATTCCTGGGTTATAATTCTGTGTTTGGCTTTTTGAGCACCTGCCAGACTGTTTTGCAAAATGATGCAGCGTTCTGTGTTCCCACCAACAGCAGTTTTTCCACATCCTCGCCAATAGTTGTTACCACCCATCTTTGATAATAGCTATCCTAGTAAGTATGAAGTAGTATCTCACGATATATTTTTTTAAGTTTTTGTTTATTTAGGTGATCTCTACACCCAACAAGGGGCTCAAACTCATGACCCCAAGATCAAGAGTCACACGCTCTTCTGAGTCAGCCAGGTGCCCCTCACAGTGGTTTTGATTTATATTTCCTTGGTGGCAAATAATGTTGACTATCTTTTCATGTGCTTGTTGGCCATCTCTCTGGCTGTGCTTTTGACTTACAGAGTGTCCTGCAGCTCAGTTGGACCCTCAAGTGGATCCTCTTCCTGCTGGGAATCCCCTGATGAAGATCGAAGTCGTTGAAGTCCTCACACTGAACCAAGAGGTAGCTCGTCCCCGAAATGCCCAGATTCGGGCCCTCTATGCTGAAGACGAGGGCCTAAGCCCAGAAGTACTTGGGGAGCCCACTCAACAGCTAGGCAAGCATCCAGCTGACCCTGAGGCTGCACGCCAGAGGTTCCGGGGGTTCTGCTTCGAGGAGGTGGCAGGGCCCCGAGAGGCCCTGGCCCGGTTGCGTGAGCTGTGCCGCCAGTGGCTGCAGCCCGAGGCGCACTCCAAGGAGCAGATGTTGGAGCTGCTGGTGCTGGAACAGTTCCTGGGTGCGCTGCCCAGGAAGCTCCAGAGGTGGGTGCAGTCACAGCACCCAGAGGACTGTCAGGAGGCAGTGGCCCTGGTGGAGGATGTAACCTGGATATCTGAGGAGGAAGGTAAGTGCAGTGGAGGGGCAGAGAGGGACACTCCTGTGGACGCATCTTGGAGAATGGGGGAGGAAGAACTCAGGCTTCCTCGGAAGGGTCGGGGAAGGGTCATGCCTCTTCATCTAGGCCAAGAGCATCTACCTCCCCAACGTGTTCCTGAGTCAGAGCTTCAATGGTTCCTTGCTGAAATACCTGCCATTGCCCCTAGGTCAAGGGATCTGAGTATCCCTGGACCCATCTACCGAAATGGAAAGTCTCAGACCACACCTCACAGCTACTGAAACCCTTGGGCAGGGCCTGGGACTGCACTCTTTAACTAGCCCTCCACAGGCTTGTGATAGAAGCTAAGGAATAAAATCATTCATTCTCATCCTTTTGGAATCCCTGCTGTGCTACAAGCCAATAGAAAACGTGATTTTAGTCACATAGGCATATTCCCAGAATGCTTTTTAAAAACATTTTTTAACGTTTATTTATTTATGAGAAAGAGAGTGTGTGAGCAGGGGAGGCACACAGAGAGAGAGAGAGAGACACAGAATCTGAAGCAGGCTCCAGGCTCCAAGCTGTCAGCACAGAGCCTGATGCGGGGCTTGAACCCATGAACCGTGAGATCATGACCTGAGCCGAAGTTGGACAGTTAACTGACTGAGCCATCCAGGCACCCCAAAACTTAATTTTTTTAAGTAATCTCCACACACAACTTGAGGCTCAAATTTACAGCCCCAAGATCAAGAGTTGCATGCTCTACCAGCTGAGCCAGCCAGGCACCCCTCCCAGAGTGGGAATTGTGGATAAAGTGGTGACCAAGACAGGATTCATAGATGCATGAGCTCAACAAGCCTTAGACCCAGTAAGAATGATGGGAATTTGAGAAATGAATACGTGTTTGACAATGATGGGGTTGAGAAGAACCCAAGGGTGCTGGTGGGGCTCCTGGAGGCAAGTTGCTTGTAGCCGACACCTGGTGTGGAGTGGAACTCAGAAGGGTACAGGAAGGATGTGCTGAGCAGGAGAGCATTGCCTGTGAAGGCCCAAAGTGGGAGCAATGACAGTATATTCAAAAATCCGAGAGAAATTGGGTGGGTCTATGGTAGAAGGGAGCAGGGGACAGGGCTGGCAGGGCCCTTGCAGGGGTTTTCGTGTTGTCCTAAAGGAATGGGAAGAGTTACTGTAAAGCAGTGGGAACCAGTCCATGAGCTCTAGGGACATGTGGTATTGTCTGACAGAGTAAACATTTTCCAGGTTGGGGGTGTTACATCCACACGACTCCTGAAACAGAAGGCTATGGGCACCAGTGACAGTCACAACAAAGTTTACTGCAATGAGAGGCAAGGCCGACCGATCGGGACCAACACTCTTGATAAGAGTGCGGCCTCGAACAGCTGGGGTACAGGGTTTTTATGGCCGATCACATCGTTTTATCATCACCTGGGAACAGAACAGATAAA